CTATGAAACAGTCAGTAATGGGTTGATGAAAAAAAAAAAAAAAAAAAAGATGTTAAAATATGTCCGCACTGGGCACAGCTCTTGCAAGCCATCACTGACATCCAAATTTAGACAGTTTTATATTGATTTGTATGGATAGTGTCAAGGTGAAACTTCAACTTAATCTTATAGTGGCAAAAAGGCTGGGTTTTGTTTGTAGTGGGTGATGCCCATTTCTGTTTTAATACAGTTTGGCAAAAAAACAAAGATACAACACACACAATTTCTTGGCTCAATGCTGCTATGATATAACTGTATGAAAGCACTTGCATTCATAGATAGACAGACTTATGCCAAAAACAAATTTTGACATTATTTAGCCAAGATAAAGTGTGCTTTTTTGAGGAAAGAACAGCTTTGTTGCAATAATTGCGCTTTACACATTTATTGTAGGTGAAAAGTATTCTTGATGATATTTTGGAAAAAATTCCGGAAGAATTTAATTTGTCTGAAATAATGCAGAAAACAACTGAACGAAGCCCCTATATTCTTGTTTGTTTTCAAGAATGTGAAAGGATGAATATACTGATGCGAGAAATACGACGATCTCTGAAAGAATTAGATTTAGGCCTGAAGGCAAGTAGATTTTTTTTTATATATATGGTTAATTTGCATCTCCAAATGCAAACATACTTATTTGTTTGTGTTTACACCTTTAGGGAGAGTTGACGATATCTTCTGACATGGAATCTCTACAAATGGCTCTGTACTATGACAGTGTTCCAAACACATGGACCAAATTGGCGTATCCTTCCATGTTTGGACTGGGGCAATGGTACATTCTGCAATTTTTCATTCTTGTGTGGTTTAACTTCACATTGTTTAACCTGATAAGCAGGGCTGTCTTTAACGCGGGGCAACTGCCCTGGGCCCAGTTACTCAGGGGGGCCCAAAGCAGGTGCACCGTGGGCCCTGCTGCTCGCTATTTTATTTTTTTTCCCCCACACACTAGGAAGGCCCACCGGGTGGGCTTTTGTAAGCAGGAGCCCGGTCGCACGCTGTATGCCTTTAACAGCACAACCAGCCCCATGCTTTTCAGCAGCGCTGGGAGGAAGTGACGGCCGTGCGTCACTTCCTCCCAGTGAAAACATAGAGCCGTGCGGGAGAGATTAAGGAGGCAGTGAGGAGGGGGGCTGGGCCGAGAGAGCCAGCCCCTAACTCACAACAGCCTCTGTCACAAGGGAAAGCACCCTTCAAGGAAACAGAAGGTGGGGGAGGGGAGGGACTAACGCAGTCAGTGGATGTTTCTGTGTATGTGTCCGCATGTCTGTATGTGTGTATATTTGTCAGTTTGCCTATATGTGTTTTCCCCCCCCCCACCCACCCACCCACCCGTGTCAGGGTACAGGGGGCCCAAGAAAATTTTTTGCCCAGGGTCCGATTCATATTATAGATGGCTCTACTGATAAGTAATGTTTAAACATATTTAAAAATATAGCCTTGACTTTTTTCCTTTGGATATGTAAAGGCAGTAGTGAGTAATAACTTTGGCCTGTATTCTCTCTTACAATACCTGGATATGACGTAGATGCAGACAGTGGTAGATTACAACTTGAGCAAAAGACACTGTTGGGAAAAGGTGCCTTAGTTTTAATGGTTTGGTTTAGGCTTACAACGATGATTAAAAAAAAAAACAACATTCTTCTCACATCTTCTTGCCAAATGATTCAAATATAAATGGAGTTGTTCTTAAAAGCAATATACCACATATGTAATATTATCATTGTAAAATAGGGTTAATGACCTTCTGCTGAGATGTCGAGAACTTGACACTTGGACACAGGATCTTGTGTTACCAGCAGTTGTATGGCTTTCTGGATTCTTCAACCCACAGTCCTTTTTAACAGGTACCTTCAATAAATAAAACTTCCCGACGCGTTAACTAACCTTTTGTGCCTCAGTCATTTACCTCAACAATAAACACCAACATTCCAAAAAGATAGCATTCTGTCTGTGACTTGTGATGCATTTTGATGTCAGATGACATTGTACAGTTATCAGGAGTACTGAGGGAAAATGAATAGAGTAATCAAGTATTGCTATGTTAGTATGGAGGAAGTTTGATGAATAGTAGGTGTATTAAAATTAAGCAAAAGTTACTTATGTGGAGGATGGGAATAGAGGTTTAAAATGATGAGAAGAGGACAGAAATGTGAAGACTGACTAGAAGAGAGAGGATGGGGAAAGTGGATTATATGTAGGGACGAAAAAAAATCACTGATAGAAAAAGTTCTGGTATGAACTGGAATAGAGTAATAAAGCAGAAATATTGAGATGGATGAGAATTATGAAGAATATTAGGTGAAGTGAACTTGGAGAGAAAGGTGTTCGAATATGGTAATAAGATAATATAGAGGGGGGAGGTTGCAGATTAAGAATAAGAAAAGCTGGTTGGCATCAAAGATAGCAGAAATGGAGGGTGTGGAGTAAGATTAGAACAGAGTTATTAATTAAAAGAACATGAAATGGAAGGGAAATGGATAGAGGTTATGAATGTGAGTAGTGTTGCACAGTGGGAGAGGAAATAAATCTAGGAAACCGTTCAATGAAAATCAGTGGTATGAAGAGGGGCATTGGCACTCGAACTGTACTGGACTAGGACATCCAGCTAAAAAGTATTCACTATCAATGGTCTATATCAGAGTTCTCCAAACTCTGGCCCTTTGGTGTTACTGAACTACAAAATCGCATGATTCTTTGAGTGAAATTGATTGCCAGAAAATCATGGCAGGTGTAGTTTAGGAACATCTGGAGGGACAAAGTTTGGAGAACCGTTAAGATCATAATCTTTCTAGCATTAGTGGGCCTCTTTAGAACTGATGTTGTGAAATAAGTAGGACATGCCATTTCATGAAATATTTAAGGACCAGATAGCAACTGTGAAATGAACAGTCACCAATACCATGTTTCCAATTATTTCACGGAATATGAGGGAAAAAAAAAAAATCTGTCTGTGGCTTCTTACATAACGCAGAAAGTTTACTTTGGAAAGCTCTTTACAGATAATACTAAAGGTGGAAGGCAATGAGAGGCTGCAAGTGCAGTATTTTTATTATAACACAATTCCTACTATAGTGAAATTTACACATTTCTTCATCCAAATTGGATCAATAGTAGATTCTGCAGTTTTCTCATTTAAAAATATTTTTTTTAAAAATACACAAAAAAAAGGTGAAACATTAAAAAAAATGATTAACATTAAAACATGACCGGTGCCATATAAAACTGACACATTGTGATGTGATCTTAAGAATACATTTGAAGATTTACATTTTTTTCCCCCTCATTTAAGCAATAATGCAAAGTATGGCACGGAAAAACGAGTGGCCGCTGGATAAAATGTGCTTGACAGTTGATGTAACAAAGAAGACAAAAGAGGATTACGGACACCCTCCACGGGAGGGAGCCTATATTCATGGACTTTTCATGGAAGGTAAATTTTGTTTTTAGACTTTTAATTAGTGGTGGAATATCACTTTATTCAGGAAATGTTCCTAATTTTTTTGCCTAAATGTAAATACATTTCCCTTAACTGCTAATTAACCAACAATATTACTGGGCCAATAAGGTCAGGTTTACTAAAACAAAAATCAGCATCACATCCTAGTTACTCACTAAACTAAGAATTCACAGGCATTCAAATTGTCAAATTTAAGGCCAAAAAAAGCTTGCATTTTAAAACGTAGTTTGAGCTACTTTGGAGAGAAGGTTTAACGAATTGTTAAAGTATATGATCAGACATTGCATAAGTCTGTCACAGGTAACTCCCTATTTAACCTTGCATTGCATAGAGCCCCAGAAGCATGGATTTCCCAATTGAGTTACTCTGATAAAGCAGGCATTATGTTGCTAGAATAGGACCTTCCATAAATGGGGTACACTGGCGTTGTGGCAGTTTTAAAATTTATGACCATATACACTTTTTAATGAATGGAAAGCTAATGATGGGCTTTGAATATGGTGTTAAGCGAGTGTGTGCACTGGATCTTGTACCCTTATAATGTATGCATGTTTAGGCGAGTTCAGTACTCTGTGTGTATCTATTATTTATACATACCCACACTATTTTCTAAGACTATATTGTTTCAATTCCATTTTCTATATCCATTTTCTTTAAAGGTAAACCATAACGAAATGCAATCCTGATGAAGGAGTTAAGATATTTTGAGACATTAGACACACTGATTGATCAAACTTTTTTTTATTTCAGGTGCTAGATGGGATATGCAGTCTGGTGCAATAGCTGAGGCACGTCTCAAAGACTTGACACCACTTATGCCTGTAATTTATGCAAGAGCTTTACCAGTGGATAAACAGGAACTGAAAAATGTCTATGAATGTCCAGTATACAAGACAAAAATCAGAGGTCCTACCTATGTTTGGACATTTAACCTGAAAACCAAGGAAAAGCCTGCTAAATGGGTCCTGGCTGGTGTGGCGTTGCTTTTGACAGTATAGCCCAATGATGGCTAAAGATCTACAATACACGTTCTGTTTTTCTTGAAACTGAGTTGGCTTTTAGCAGGATTTATATATTTAAGTCCGATATAGCCATCACGGATGATAAAGTTCATACATATCTAAAGGAACAATGTTCGAAATCACTGGACATTCTTTAACACAATCTACCTCAAATTACTTTACAATGTGTCTTGTGAGAAACAATACAAGAGAAGTTTATTTGTATATTAACTTATAACAAGTATTGCTACGAAACAGTAGGATATAGTGTGTGCAAAATAATCTGCTAATTTACAATGTTAAGGCCTAGGAAAACAAGATTTTCTTTTCTAAAGCATGTGGCATTAAGCGGCACAGAACTGACTTTAAAGCAAGTCAGTCATGCCAGATTAGACCCCTTGTCTAGCCATAGGACTTGATAAATTTGTACAGATAAGTGTTTTGTTTTCTGCTAAAGGATTACTCCACCCATTATAATAACTGTATTTTATTTTCGTATGCCTCATTGGACAAGAGTAGCATATCTACTCCCCCCCCCACCCACTCCATTTTAATTTTTTTATAAGTAAAAAAAACAAAAAAAAACAACCCTGTACATAAATATAAAACTTGCCCAGGGAGCTTCTCCCATGCCCCGTCCAATGTTTTGGTGTATAGATCATGTCCCTGCAGTCTTCCTGCTAAATTCTCTGCCATTAAGGAGTTAAATTGCTTTAATTATACAATCCTAATCACACCTCCCTGCACAGCTTTCCTAAACACTTCCTATAAGAAGAGATCTAATGTTTCAACTTCCTTTATTGCACATTCTGTTTAATCTAGCTATTTTTTCTCCCCTGCTCTGTTAGTAGCTATATAGACCCGGAAGGAGGCTCCTGTATGTGACTAACGTTCAATTTACAGAGCAGGAGATAAAAACGTTTAGTAAGTTAACATCTTATTGAAAAAGTTAAACCTTTATTTTTTTTCATGCAGGCTGTGGGAGTCACAGCCAGGGGAGGGCTGCATAAACAGAAACAAAAGTGATTTAACTAATAAATGGCAGAATTGAGACTACATGGGCATGACCTATACACTAAAACTGAAAGTTGTTTTGATGCATTTGGCTTTTTATCTATGACAAACAGATTCTCAGAAGAAAATTCTATCAAAATGGAAATGTAAACCACACACGGTGTTTATACTGTAATTTTAAAAAGGAAACGCAAATTGTGACGGAACTGTGTTACAAAGCTAAAGAGAATGCAAATATTAGCACTTCATGTGTAAAACTGAATACAAATGAATACAACTGCAAATATAGAAGTAGATTTGTATTATGTAAAATAAAACATTCTTATACAGTCATACAAGTATAAAATTAAGGCCTGCAGTCTAAAACTGGTTAAGGAGTATCTAACTAAGAAAACAAACAAAGTTACATTAAAGCACAGTATTTCATAACGTATGTCTCTAGTTATTAAATTCTGCTAAGGAGAACATCAAGAATACTACAGAGCTCTTTATAGAACAGGTAGTGAATGGCATTAGTACATTGACAGAAGGGGCAGCAGCTATGCAAATCTTGATCTCAAAAGAGGTCATTTATACAGCCATGTACATTGACTGCAGAAGTCAACACAACAAGAAAAAACAAGAATCATTATTTGGTGGTTTTAAGAGGTGCTATCACACACTTAACCTACCTAAATTGTTTTTTTTATACAGACTAAAAACTTTTTTTTGGTGTGGCCTGAGTCAAGGTTATATTTTCTTTCCTGTGTTCTTTACATGCAACTATGTTTAACAGTACAAAACAAAAATAATTATATATTTTTCATTTGATTAGACTCATTTCTTTTTTACATTTTCATAAAGACAATCTATGATTTTTTTGTACTGTCAGTGTTATTTACTAAAGCGAGAATTCAAGTGAATTCTAAATTTAAGGACACAGTAGCTGAATGGAAAGCATAGTTAATTTTTATTTATGTTTTGATTTTTAGACATTAAATTTTAAATTCACTTTGAATTCACCATGAATTCTAACTTTATTGAATAAACCTTGTGTTTGGTTTTTCCTTTTCATTCCAACACGATCAAAAGATATACATGGAACAAAATCCTTGCATAGTTTGTCTCATGTAAGAGAGGAATGTCCTCTGCCATTTTTCATCATTGGATAATGGAACAGGCAACATCTCAGAGGTCTACGGGACCTAACTGCACTTGCTTGGTATATGGGTATCCTCAATAGACCCATTTCTGTACACTCATGCATGCGTGTACAACAGCGATGACAGTTCCAGGCAGACAAAAAGTCACCAGGAGCTGAAGAATGGTGGTGGTGCCAAGGAGAGGTAGTTAAATTTAACACTCTCTCTCTCAAGCCCCATCCAAATCATACAAAGAACCGACATGGGGGAGCTTTAAACAGATTTATGTTAAGAGCACTGCCTTAAATTTCTTAAAAACCATAGGTATAAACGAATGTAAATAGGCTTAGACAAAACAAAGGTGAGAGATGTTTGAATAAGACCGTATTTAGCATGCATTATGAAGCTTCTGGGTACAATTAAACCACACCTTACTACGTACTGTCTGTTAGTCCACAAAATTTAACAACCTATTTGGATAAGTACTTTAGTAAAGTCTTTGAAACCAAAACCTATTTAACTTCAATATCTGCTCATAAAAACAATTTTATTAAAATATTTTTTTATTTTTTATTTTTAAGTATGGAGCAGCCTATGAAAATCTATCAAACTTTTTTTTTTTGTCCGAGATTTGTTCAGTGTGGATAAAACAAATGGCGTAAAAGAGAAGCTGAAGAGAACGGTCAAGCAAATTGCAGATTTCAAGCATAAATAATTGGATCAATTTTACTTTTTAAAAAATCAACTTTTTTTGGCTCAACTCATCCATTTCAACCCAACATTTACAATCTTTTTGTCATTTTTCCAAAACAGCAAAGTTAGTAAACTCGTGGCAAGCCAAGTTTGCAAAGAATCCAGTGCAGCTCTGTAAACCATCTAGACAGAAGTAGCATTGGTCCATTGAAATTAAACACCACGTCAAAGGCATTTTCATGGTTTCAGCTATGTAACCGGATAGAATAAACCTAAGTGGATATTGAAAGAGAAATGCTGATGTGTACTATGCCTACTTTATGGGCACAGTTACACTCACATATAAGGTGCATGTTTTCCTACATTAGATTAGAAATTATTTCCCTAAATTTATATCTGAATTAATGTGATCCAAATAAAACTGCAGATCCATCTGGCTTGGTGGTCTAGAAGAATAAGCAAAATGTTTAAAAGCATTGGATGTCTTAAAGGACCACTATAGTGCCAGGAAAAAACACTTTTTCCTGGCACTATAGTGCCCTGAGGGTACCCCCACCCTCAGGGTCCCCCTCCCGCCAGGCTCTAGGGGGTGGAAGGGGTTAAAACTTACCTCTTTCTCCAGCGCCGGGCGGAGAGCTCTCGGCCTCCTCCTCAGCTGAATGCGCATTCAGCCAGTCTCATAGGAAAGCATTCACAATGCTTTCCTATGGACGCTGGCGACTTCTCACTGTGATTTTCACAGTGAGAAGCACGCAAGCGCCTCTAGTGGCTGTCAATGAGAGCCACTAGAGGCTGGATTAACCCTAATATAAACATAGCAGTTTCTCTGAAACTGATTTGTTTATTGAAAAAAGTGTTAATCCTGGCTGGACCTGGCACCCAGACCACTTCATTAAGCTGAAGTGGTCTGGGTGCCTATAGTGGTCCTTTAAGTACTTTCATTTTTCTTTAATTCTTGTCCAAAATCAATCATCTTCCACTAGTCCTTTTTGTAAGCTGAAAGAAAAAAAAAAAAAATAGGGAATGTTTATTTTTATTTGAAGTGTCATGAAAATATAGAATAAAAGTGGCAATGTCTTCATCTTTGCTGTCTCCAGTAGTCTAATAACATTGCTATAGAATTACCATTACACACATAAGAAAATGTGTAGTAGATAATTATACCATTATCTTTACGCAAGGTGCTTTACAATATGGAAAGTCTACAAAACTAGCAACAATTTTACATTGCTAAGAATAAATGATGGATAGTGAATTATTAGTCTTTGTGCTTGAAAAATTCACCTTTCAAGATACTCTTTCACATTATCATAACCGTAAAACTTTGCCAAATGAATAAGCATTCCCGTGGCACAGCGACCGTCACGCTTGCGGCAGTAGCTGCAGTTACAAATATCTCGACATGGAGGACATATCCAATCCTAGGGAGAGGAGAAAAAAAAATGTAATATTAATTGACAAAATATAGGCATGCTCACAAAAAGGGACACTTCAGGAACCTTAACTGCAACCATGCAGCTCATAAGTCATTCATAAAGTATTTTATTGTAGAATGAAAGACACCGGTTTGCGTGAAAAAAATGAAATATCCGTGCACCATAATCTAACAATTTCCAAGTATTTTTCCAATAGGAATTCCTGAGACACTGATCTACTCCTGGTCTGGTTAAGGTTTCCCAAAAAGCACCACTGCAGTGTTTTCTCGCATGGAGGTGCTGCTCATGCATGCAAGTGTACGCAACCTTAAATGTAATAGTGCTTCAAAGGTTTACACAGAAGACAAGGGTGGAGTTTTAGGGATGCACCGAAATTTCGCCCGAAAAAGGGTAACATCTGTTGTAAATGTGTGCTGCCGGGTGCGAGGCCCCTCCCATCTACTCGGGGAGAGAGCCAGTACAGTTTGCAGCTTCGCCCAGTGTGAGCTGCAGACTCTGCTGTATATAGTGATCCCTAGCAAATCAGAGCGCTGCCGCGGGTTACCACAGCAACGCTCTGCCTTCTAGAGCTTGCAAGATACAGCACAGTCTGCAGGTCACACAGGGCGGACACAGACCACCAGGGAGCATTGACCCTGGAGATACAGCACAGTCTGTAGCCAGGACACTGGACCACCAGGGAAACAAAACAAAAAAAAAAAAGAAGGTACACTAACACCCTTCCTCACTGCCACCAGTTGCGCCCACCCGCCGCCAGTCGCGCCCTCCCTCTCTCACCCCCTCCCTTCCACGCTCTGTCATCTGCCACCCCACACTATGTGCCCTACCCATACTACATCCCTATCACCCCACACTATGTGCACTACATCCCTAGCCCACCCCTTACACACTCTACATCCCTATCCCACACCGTGTTCCCTACACACTACATCTCTATACTGCACCCCACCATGTTCCCTACACACACTATATAACCTACACAAAAATACACACTACATCCCTTTCCCACACCTCACTATATTCCATACACACACACACACTACATAACCTACACATCATTTAGGGGAGAAAAAAAAAAATCATTTTTGGATTTCGGCCCAGAATTTTTACTTTGGTGCATCCCTAGTAGTTTTATTTGTATTGTTTGTTCTAATGGACCGACAATATTTTGTATGTACTTTTGATGTACTTACAGGGTCTAGAAGCGCAGTTCTCACATCTTCACCATACCGGTTCCGTAGACACGGACCACAAAACTGGCCCCTGACTCCGCCACAGCCTAGATTGCGACAGACTGTTTTAGTGTCAACTGTTTTTTGCCGGCACTGATGACATGTGCTGCCCTGGAAACAAAAAAAACAAAACCAAAAAAAAAAAACACACCCATAAATACCTTTCAATAAATTCACATGAATTAGAAAATGTATAATGCAGCATTTAACCATGTAGGTCAGTACATATACTCAGTTTCAGAGTGATTAGGCACTGGGTACTTTAATTTTCCTCCAATAAAAACATACCTAATTTATATAAAGTAGATAGGAATGGGACTGTTCACGTATGCCTAATGAATGAATACAAAAGGCCCTTTTTTGTTTTTTTTTTGTATGGCAAAACATGCTAAATAAGGCAAGTGGCACAAGATTATTTATTATACTTGGAAATCTGAATTTTAGTACAGTGCTTCAAGATGGCGGAAGATGAATTAGAAAGGTCCTCTCTACAGACCTCTTTAATAGCAGGAAATCAGCTTTACAAAATGTTTTTTTTAAATGAGGGCAGTCCAGCCAAAGTGGAGAAAAGGCTTCCAGAAGGACACTTCCATCACTCAAACAGAATATTGCAGGGAGTCTCACTGGGGTTTGATAACATCTAGTAAAAACCTTATATGCCAATTCCTGAAATTTAGAAGCAATAGGAGAATGCACTGTGATCTGTTTTATCCAGTCTTGATCAGATCAGGTAATAGAACAATCTGAATCCCATTGGATTAAATATCTAATTAACATTTTATCTTATCTTAGCCATAACTCCCTCAGGAGGAGAGAGAGGTTTTCCAGATCAAGCATGTAGTTTACAAAAGAAAAACAAGCAGGGAGCCCAGAAATATGTGTTAAGAATGCTTGATTGACAATCTTGGTCAGCTATCTTATAGAAGCAGCAATTTTTACAAATCATTGATGCCGTAGTATTGAGAGAGGCCTCAGGATGCTCTAAACTGTATACATTTTACAGTAATGTAAAGTGCTTTATTCTCCCCTGGTAGACACCTTTGTCTCATGTGTGCTAGAGAACTGACTAGTGTTCAATGGTACACATCAGTTAATGCTACAATTTCTTTCTCAACATAATTTAAACCATTTTAGTAAACACATAAGATTTTAATTCTTGCCCAAAAGTATACAAGTTAATGCAAAATTATTTTACAACAAACATGTTAAAGGGTAAAGAACCGTTCCCTATTCTGAAGTATAACGGGGGGGGGGAAGAAAAATACATTGTAGTTCTTTTGATAGGAGGGCATGCAAGAAACTGCAGGTTTTGATCTAAATCTTGTAATATTAAAACCAAAATAAAGTATTTAAATATTGGATTTTGAAAATACTTTTGTTTTGTTTTTTTAACTGGAGAATATAAGCATGCAGGCTGTAACATAGTTTGCAATTTCTGGCATAATTATAAAACCGTACTGAAGGAAAAAAAGTGAAATATGTTGTTAAAGTGATATAAATAAACAATTACCACAATTTTGTCATAAATCTTGTCTTTAACAGTAACAGCAACATTTTCTAACTCCTCTTCCGTAATATCTTCAACAGAGCGAAAACTAGTGTACTTTGATGACCTCCTTCTCCTCTGATATTCTTCACGCTCCTCCTGTGAAATAGACACATACGATATGTTACATTTTTCTCCAAAGGCTCAAATTGTCACAAAACTAAACCACTTGCTCCATTTGGTTAAGTTGTCTAGCATGCCGTGGTATAATATTAAACCATTTAGGAATGGTTTAAACTGGGGCTCTTCTTGGACCACCCCGGTAATGGGGTATTAGCAAGTCTTTATTAACAACGTCAATTTCATCCAACCTGGACTACACGGATTGGCAGAGAAAGCTGGGCTATCCTGCCCAAAGCTATCTCACGTAATGTAATGGAGAAAGCTGACATAATGTGAAGCGTTAAGCAACTCTTGATAAAAGACTGTAGAGAGAGGGCAAATGTCTGATTTGTAGCTGAGAGCTAACAGAGTTTAAATGAGCAAATACTACATACGAAGCAGTCAGGACATGAGAACCCTACAACATTTTATAGATTTATATTGACCTAAAGAAACCAAACACTGGAATACACTCAAAGGATGAGTCTACAATATTGCAACTAAAGTCCTAATCATTAATCCTTATTTCTGACCATGAATTATAGTCTCTAATAGCTCTAATATTGTATTCATGTGCAACCAGTCACATGTTAACATTGCTTTGTGTTAAAAGGCAGTGCACAAATTGCCCATTTCACTAAAAAGGAAACATTGGAATTTATGGATACCTCACTCATTGTTTGCTTTAGCAAAGCTCCCTTTCTGTAGCTCTGTAGGTGTTCAGCAAATTTAACAGCTGATAAAGTGAAATTTTCCAGTGCAAAGTTCTCTGGGGGACGTGCATTTCTGGTTGGGTTTGTACGTCGTTCAACTGGACCTTCAGAGAAACTTCTTCGAGGAGCTTTTTTTGTTTTCTAAATAAAAAAAATTAAAAAAAAGATTTAAAACAAATAAAAATAAAAAAAAAATTTGAGAGATTACACCATATTTGTTCTAAAGCTAAGTTCCAAAATGAGCATCCACAGTCAGAACTTAACCCCACAACATTCTCTCTATACATTATACAACTTTCAAACAGGAATTGCTTATCCTGGGATTACTTACGGAGGGAGGAGTAGCGGCAGCAGTTTTCTTTCCAGGAAAAAGTTCAGGCATAGAATTCAGTTCAGCAAGCAGCTGGGCAAGCTGAAATTACATTAAAGTAATAAAGATTACACATAAATATATATATATATATATATTCCAAATGATCTTTGGAAGATCTAGAGTGCCAGTATTATTTCTGTGTGTGTGTGTATATATATATATATATATATATATATATATATATATATATATATACATACATACATACATACATACATACATACATACACACACAAAAATAGAAATAATACCGGCACTCTAGATCTTCCAAAGATCATTTGTTTATTTTCAGTCAATCCAGAGGGTCAACGTTTCAGCTCCCATTTGGAGCTTTCATCAGGACACATCAAAATAATTTTACATAATGACAAGCTTAAATAGGACTAAAATCATAATCACTCACCAAACCAGCTGCTCCTTGTTTCTCCCGATGCTCGGCGTCTGTTCAGCGCACCTACGCATGCGCGCAATTACAGGAATCACCTCCCAGTCATATATACACATATATATATATATATATATATATATATATATATATATATATACATATACACACACACACACACACACACACACACTCTATCCAAATCGTGACAATTTTAGTTAAACAAAGGGTTTTAAAACTAGACTAAAACAGATACCATATTTTGTTCATTTACATTAACCATTATGCACTATTAGAAATTAAAATGAAATTCGACTATCAACTTCAAATTAAGTTGTAATATTCTACTAGCTACTGGTTTACCATTCATTATTGCAGCATACATACCACTGCTTTGTTTTCCTTAATGTTCATTGCTCTTTTAAGCAAGGCACTGGAATCTCCCTGGTTGGATTTGACACAGTTATCCTCAGAGTCAGATGCCGGGGAGGCTTTCCTTTTGCTCCCTTGCTGAGAATTCTTCACTCGGGGGTTAGGTTTTTTCCCTTCTTCCTTGCCCAATTTTGAAAGGGGAACTTCGGGAGCCTTCTTACTCTTGTTAACACACTTTTTATTGGGAAACTGTAGTGCAACGCGAAGGCCGAAGCTTCGTCGTTTAGGAAGACTAGCAGCTTCTTCACTTCCCGACCCGCCACAATCTTCATCACTTCCATCTGACATCAGCTTAAATAAACAAACAAAATTATTCAACACTTTCCATTCCAGTGAACAATACTCTTTTTTGACCAAACACTGCCCTGTCTTGTAGCTCAATGATGTGACGTAGCAGAGAATGAAATCCGTGCACATGTGGGTAAGTCCAACCTGATATACACTGCATGGCCAAAAAAAAAAAAAAAAGTCACATGCTCTAATATTTAGTTAGACCGCCTTTAGCTGTGATTACGGCATGCATTCGCTGTGGCACTGTTTCGATAAGCTTCTGCAATGTCACAAGATTTCTTTCCATCCAGTATTGCATAAATTTTTCGCCAAGATCTTGTATTAATGATCAGAGAGTGGGACCACTGCGCAAAGCCTTCTCCAGCACATCCCAAAAGTTCTCAATGGGGTTAATGTCTGGACTCTGTGGTGGCCAATCCACGTGTGAAAATTATGTCTCATGTGCACCACTCTTTCACAATTTGAGCCTGATTAATCCTGGCATTGTCGTTTTGGAATATGCCCATGCCATCAGGGAAGAAAAAATCCATTGATGGAATAACCTGGTGAATCAGTATATCCAGGTAGTCAGCAGACCTCATTCTTTGGACACATAATGTTGCTGAACCTAGACTTGACCAACTGCAGCAATACCAGATCGTAGCACTGCCCCCAAAGGCTTGTACAATAGGCATTAGGCATGATGGGTGCATCACTTCATCTGCCTCTCTTCTGCCCCACTATACTAACAGTTTTTAATAATGCGTTGGACAGTTCTTAACCCAATTTTAGTAGTTTCTGCAATCTCCTTAGGCGTTTTCCTGATGCATGCCAATGATATGACCCTTCTCAAACAGACCAACATCTTTTCCACGACCACGGGATGCGTCTTTCGACATGGTTGTTTGAGAAATGAGAAGATACTCATTGCATCAATTGGGGTTAAATAACTTGTTGCCAGCTGAAAGATAAAATCGCCTGTGCAGTAACTATCCAATAGGAGGCTCTTCCCTAATTGCTTAGTTAAATCCAGGTAGCGACTTTTTTTTTGTCCAGGCAGTGTATAAACCTTGTATGTCCACTCTGCTATGTTTGCAAATATATGAATAAAGCAAACCACTGCTATTGAATAATTCACCATGAAAAGGAAATCCTGATTCCTCATGCCCAATTTCAGAATAAATCCATGATGTAACTTGCAAAATGCCAAGTACTTTCTCTGCTGAAGGTGGTCCTGCTGTAGCAGACCATAGGCACATAAAATTGTTAAGCAAATACAGGCTGCTAATCACTACAGCTGCTACCATGTACAATAGGAAACAATTAAAGAGACACCCTGGAAACCATAACTACTTTGTCTAATAAGAGTGGTTATGGTACCTGGAATACTCTGGTTATAGTACCTTCCATTGGTGGGTATATTCAGTGGCATTATACTCTACCAGTAATGGGCAGCAGTGATAAGCTGAGAGTGCGCAGCTTACTTTCTTAGCCTATCAAGGACACCTGTCACTGGTTGAGCTAATGTGTCTGCATTAGCTCAGGCAACAGAAAAGAGACAAGCTTCAGGCCCCCGAGTAACCTCATTCAATATCAAACCACAGGAGAAAGGTTTGACACTGAATTGTAAGTGGGCCTCAAGGGACTCCAAGTACCATAACCGCTTTCACTACAAGACAATTTAGATGCCAAATGCCTGACCTCAACTAGTGCCAAGATATTGTGAAGATATGGAAACTGAGACAGAAAAAACAAACACAGAAAAGTGTACTGTACAACTTCATGTGAGCATTTCTTATGTTTTTAGAAAAAAAAAAAAAAAAAAAAACGACCACACTTGAGAATAGGATGATATGAGGAAAATAAATTAAATAAAAATTGGAGATGCTTACAGTCAAATAAAAATGTTATTAAAACACATGGATAAGGGTGATTTTCTAGAATAAATAAGATAATTAAAAAATTTCATACAGTTATTAAATGGGACAGGAAATCTACATAGTTGGAGAATTTTGCCTATTTTGGTCTAAACCATGTAATTCCCTGTTCAATTCCTGGTTTAGTAATTAAAGCATTTGACCAGCTCAGAGTGCATGCTATCAATGCAGGGAGGCAGCGACCAAGACTTCCTCTTGCAGGCAGAAACCCCATCAAAAGCTCATTAAGTTGGACGGCCACATGCTGACAACTTTTTGCACAGGATCGACATTAGGCATAGTTCAGGGATGCCCAAGTCTTGGGTAGCAGGGGTGCAACTAGCCCATGCAAAAATAGTGTGTATTACTCTGCATGTATAGCATTTCAAGCAGAAACGCAGCCCATACAGACTCCTACCACCATGACCATTTCTAAATGCAGAAGTTGTCATGAACGTTGGAATAACCCTTTAACCCTAAAAATAAACATACAGTACAACAAGGAATGAGCAGACAGTAAACCTACCGTACTCTGCATATCTACTTCACTCTGAGTAAATCCCTCAAACACATCACTCTCAGATTCTGTGTCTTCAGAAAAAATCCTCCGCAGTTCAGCTGTCATATACTGAGAGCGAAGACGGGGCCTCTGCACATTAAAGGAAAAAACAAAAACAAAAACCGTAATCATTACTCTAAGCACAGAAATTAAAAGTCAGGAACCAACCAAATACCTTTAGTAAATTTACAATTAGGTCAAGGTTACCAAATTGGTGTGCGTGAGATATATGTTACTCTACATTTCAGACATACCTCCCAACATTGTGAGGTATAAATGTGAACTGGGGGGACACAAGTTAGGGCCAAAAAAAAAAGTGTGTCAACCATTCAGTGCTGCCCATGCCCAGAGTGCTGTTCAAGCCGTCTTGTATGGACTGAATACTTTGCATTTAAGTTAAGCTGCAAGAACATCTTTAACAATAAGTGTGTGTCTCTAGAATCCACAGTAGCAGGGCAACAGAGAACAAATAATAGAGAGGAGTCCACATTTAGGGCTGTCCTGTCGAATCAGACTGCTGGCACAATCCATGATATCAAATGGGTTAATAATACATTGCTTAAGTGTTTCCAGGTTCACCCTCCATTCGATGTAACTGATAAGGAAGATTTTGGCTCTAAGTCTCTGACACTTTGATGCACTGCCAATTCACCTTCTCAAACTCCAAACTAGAGTAGTTTCATATGATTTAATCAAAATTAAATCATTCCCAATCTGTGCACAAGCTGGTATTGAATAACAAATGGGAAAAAAAAAACTAAAAACTTTTAATACTTTTATATTTTTACAGTTAGTTTGTTTTCCAGTGTTATAGTTTGTCATTTTGATTTGAGGGAAGTCTATTCATATCACCTACTTTTACTGGTTTATTAAAACTATATTGCTGGCATACAGATCAATGTATCAGTCTAAAAAAATAAAATAAAGATGGATTTTACCACATATATTATTTAAATTACAGCATGTCCATCATCTTCATATCCCTATGGTGGCATTGCTGCTTGGTAAGCAGTACCCTGCGGTGCCGTACTGATGAGATATACTTAGCAGGTACCACCATTTCTTTGCACATGCACGGACGTACAACGCTGATGTTTATATAGGATTCCACGAGTCCCTACTTTGTCTTATAATATCTTTTGACTACTTTTGGAATTTCAGTGACATTCCGACAGTTAACGTGAGTATTTCAGAAAAACGTATCTTTATGGAATACTCAATTTGTTTATTGTATTTTTTTTAATCTAACACACAAATTTTTATTCAAGTGAGAACTGTTGATAACTCAAAGTTCATTTTAAGGCTAAAGATTTTTTTTACAATTTAGATATTTATGCCTGAAATTTAAATTCACTTTATTAAATAACCATGCCAGTGTTTGAATACAAGATGTCCCAATGCATTTGAAAAAAATATATTGTATTGCAATCTGCTCATTTTCCAGACATAATGTGGTGGTTATATTTATTTCCTAGCCATTTAAGTCATGCAGAGAATTAAGTGAGGAAACAGATGGCTGGTGAAAAGCTAATTGTGGGGAAAAAAGGGGTAAAACAAGTCTGTCCATTGTGAAAACAGGAAGCACTTAAATATATCTGGTACAATGGGTCTAGCGTTACACACTATTTTACAAGTGACAAATCAATAAAATGCTAATTCTCACACGTATTTTAGTGCACATATTGACAACAGACTAGGATTGTCACTAGAAGGTGTCACAATGGTTCCAACAACAAAAAGTTCAGACCTAAAGGGTTATGCAAATCGTGTGAAGGTATTTCAAATTAAAAAGAATCATAATCAGAAACAAACAAACAAACAAAAAAAAAGGCACGAGCAGGCCCATTTAATAAAAGAGCTTAGTAAATACAGATTTTTTTTTTTTTTAACTATTCCCCTTTTTCATTGCCCATGTGAAGGTACTGGTACCTCAGGTCATGAAAGGGTTAATTATTATTCTATTTCCTTGTGTAAAGCAATCATCAAATTGTAGCACCCCACGTTTCAGTACATAACGTAGGATCCATTGTATATAAATATGAATAGAGATGCTACTTCTTTAAAAGGGTTGATCAACATTGTGTATACACACACAATTAGAGCGGTTATTAAAAAGCATACAATTCCATTAACACTGATGTGATAAGAATGTTAGGGGAACCGATTCATGAGCTAAATCAAGCCATGCTTTGTCTTTTCATGAATAATCCACAACTCCGTGCTGCACTGCATATTCCTTAGAATACAGCGGAGTGCTATTGGATATGTGTGGTGTTCTTGCTGAGAACACTGAAAGAGGCATCATTGACTATTCGGTCAGTTTCTGGTCACAGAGATTCCTCCGAGTTGAAGCAAACAACTTAAACTAAGAGATAAGCAACGTTTTCCAATTTTTTTTAACGCATCATCCATGTAATAAATTGAATTATAGTAAAGTTATAGTTTTAAATAATACCTATATGGATGTGCCCACTGCTTGCTTTATCCTCTTAATGTTTGAAAACTCATCGTTCGATTGGGACAGACTGCAAACTTTAACTACGCACTCTGAGGGTGCAGCCATTAATTTTGGTTTTGAACACCCTTCAAATTTTGATATACATAAAAAAAAAACAAAAAAACAAAAAAAAACACTCCAGTCCTGGATTGGGCATAGCCGCACAGGTTAGACTTTAGCACTAAGGAATTTTACTTCCTGCAAGGTTAAATGGAGGCACTAGAAAAAGCTAACATTTTAATGACTTAATGGAAGAATATTTGTAAGGAGCTTTGAGACGTTTTTACAAAAGAATGAAAAAGTACTTTCAAGAGCAACTGCATTAGCTCTTTTGCTTTGTGCCTCTGTGCCAGAGCCCTGCTGAGATTACTACATGCTAACTCATTTCTTGTGTGTCTTCTATTACTTCCAAATCTACACCCAAGGAGCCTGCTTCAGGGGAGCACAATTACCGATTAGGAACAAAGAAGAAACATACTTCACCCCAGGCATTCCTGGGAACTGATGGGCTTCAATTAGGGAAACTTGCTGCCGATTTTCAAAAGGCTGCCTCCCCTCCCTAGAACCTCTATTAAAATAGTTTTGGGACTCCCCTCTATGATTTTCAAGAGACTCATTAAATTGTTCACTAGTCCCGTCAAAAAAAAATATAAAAAAATAAATAAAATATTTCATTTCAAATAAAAATGATTTACGGATTTTTTTTTTGCACGCAAGGCAACTATGCCAGTTACATAGTTATTCAAATCAAATAAATAGATTTGTGTGTGTACTGTACACAAACAAAAATAAAACAAAAAATATCAAATAAGCAGCTCAGTGTGGTGTCACAACTGTTTTCAAAGAATGTTTACACTCCCACTGGGAAACCGTGTGTCCGTCAAATCAGGACATCACAAACTAAGTATGGTATAGTTGTCAAACTGTGTTTCGCTGTATTTTATATGGAAATGTACAGAAAAGAACTCTTTCCTAACCCCTAGGAAAAAAAACAAAACAATTCTAATAGATTCAAGATTATATTAGCGATCATGAGGAGAAGACAAAAAGATGCAGCCCACACAGAGAATTAAAAAATAAAATAATAATAATAATAAAATAACCTTATGATGCAGCAAAATTCATGCAAGAATACAGAGCTACATTTTTTAACCTCCCTTAGTAGTACTGCCCCTATCCCATTTATGTTTCTTATTCAACTTAAAGAAACACTATAGGGGTCAGGAATACAAACATGTATTCATGACCCTAAAGTGTTAAAAACACCATGTAGCCCCCCAGCATCCCCCTAAATATATTAAAATCATACCTTTATTCCAGTTTGCTGCTGCTGGCTCTGCCTCCTTGGCTGACAATCAGAAGTGTACAGTGTTACGGAATTAGCTGGCGCTATATAAATAATAAAATAATAATCTCAGCCAATCACAATGCTTTCCCATAGGAAAGCATTGGATTGGCTGAGCTTGTCAAGAAGGCAGATTGGGGCAGAGCCAGCAGAAGCCAAACAGAGCCTTGGCCAATCAGCATATCCTCATAGAGATGTATTGAATCAATGCGTCTTTATGAGGAAAGTTCAGTGTCTCAAAGCAGAGGGAGGAGACCCTGAATGTCAATGCTGTACTCTAGGCAGCACTACCCCAGGAAGCACCTCTAGCAGCCATCTGAGGAGTGGCCAGTGAAGTTATCATTAGGCTGTAATGTAAACACTGTTTTTTCCTCGGAAAAGTGAACAGTGTTTACTGAAAAAAAACTGAAGGGAATGATTATACTCCCCAGAACAAATACAACAAGCTGTAGTTGTTCTGGTGACTATAGCTACAATGACAGTTAGGATAAGAGGTGCAAAAATGTCCAGTTAAACTCACATTTATTGTCCCATCTACACTGTTTCTCCAATTAAGAAAACAATTCCCACTAATAAAATTCTGGTGCAGCAACATCAGCACACTACGATGCAAGTCCAAGCATGATTAGACAGCTTCTGGAAAATGTCCCAAAGAGAGCTTCTGGCTACTTTTGGCCGGCTGAGCCCCACATGACCCCGTATACCTGAAGTAAAATGAATGCCAAGAAGTCACGAGCCGCCAAAAATAAATAAACAACAAAATGTAACGTGTGGTGTAACATGAATTAAAATCCAAAGTAAAGGTGTGTTTTCAGACATTACCATTTTCTAGTTTTGGTGTAATCTGCATTTTAGCATCAAAACCAATACATTAGGAAGTAGTAGTTTTGGTGCCTCGAGTACATAACAAGAAGGCAAAGTGAAACACATCATGAATGCATTATGTAAATAACACCATTATAAATGCAAATAAAGAAATAAAACATTGTAAAATAACAAAAAGAAAAGGCTGCTGCAGTGAGCACTAGGACCCTGTATATATCAATTTCTTGTTAAAAACATTTTTTTTAAAGTTTTTTGAGGGCGAAGCGGATTTTGAAATAAATTGCCTATTCATCTATTTCCACAATCTTTGGCTTAAATTTTTTTATTAAGATTTAATTAGCAAAAAATTCAGAATTCAGTGTGTAACTCCACATATCTTACCCTTTGCCCCTCCCCAATCTCTCCCATAGAGAGTGAGTGTGTGTGTGTAATGGCTGTATGTTTGTGTTGTTGAAATAGTGTGTGTTGGTTCCTGTAAAAAATAAAAAACTATGCTTGATAGCACCTCACCCAAACGTGGTATAATAGTGCAACAACTATAAACTAGGACTGCGAAGGGCATCCAGTACCTCAGATTTGTGGCTCATTAACAAACAAAAGAAAGGATCCATGAGTATTTACATTTTTATTTTGAATTTCAAGAAGTAACAGTTTATGAGAGGGCTTGACAAATTCCAGGTTCCAGGTCAACTAGGGATTTTGCCCTGGCACATGGGTATTTGTCAGCCCTGGCCACCTTAGGGTCCCATGAAGTGGAAAACTGAGCAACGGAGGCAGGCGGCGAGGAAGCTGTATTCTTCCTGCTCTTCTAATGCTGCTTCCACAAGACACCCTGCTGTGATGCCAGGAGCCAGAATATGATATCACTACAGCCCCGACAATATTAAATGTTACGCGAGAAAACAGCGCAAGAAGGTGACAGCAGCCACAGTGGACCCCAGATCTCCCAAAGGTAGGGTAGGCTGGGTGGACATAAATATTTTTTATATGAATCTCAAGAACACGTTTAATTTAATGAATTGAGTATAACAGTAGAGACGCACACCTCTAAGACAAAAGGGGTCTCTTTTTTTTAATACACCATTCCTTATCGTTTGAGCTGTTACAAATTAAGAAATATAACCAAGGGAGATTCCTTATCCTACACTGCATGATAAACAAAGCAGAACACACCCTGGTAGGTATGTATGGTCCCAATGACCACCAAATTATTATTATTATTTTTTTTATTTTTTTTTACACAAAGTGCTCACCCTGTGGCGACCTTAACCACGTTCTAGATTCGCATGCTGATACAACCTTTCCAGATTCATCCCCTAGACATTTAGCACTACGGACGCACAGCAAAGCCCTGACTAAACTTATGTCTGAACATGACATATATGATTCATGGAGAACACTTAACCCTACGGGATGAGAATTTTCCTTCTACTCCAGTGTACACAAGTCATTCTCCAGGATAGATCATATACTGGTATCTGGCCACCTTCTAACAGGGATCACACAGTGCTCTATTGGAGACATAGTGTGGTCAGATCATGCACCACTTACGCTGACGATTCAAGACCAATTCCCACATAGAGGACAAGCGCTGTGATGTCTCAATGACTCCCTTCTGCAAGACCCTAAGTTCGTTACCCAAGTGTCACAAAATCAGGAGGACTACATCATAAACTAGAAAAGCTACAATTTCTGGGGAAATTGTGTGAAGTGTTCTTGCCTCCACCAGTAGTCTACAACTGGAGTGGGCGGAGTAACTGTTATCATTTATATAGCACATTTAATTGCAACGTTGTTGCACAGTTACATTAAACCATACATTTATAAAAAACATTAGCAGGTGTTCAAAAGGCCCTGTCTATGACATCACTTGCTGCTGCAGCCTGACACAGGTCAGAGTATTTTGGCGGTTGCCATCTTCAAACGGTCGTATTTTAAAAACTATAAATCCTACAGCGAAGAGCTTTATATTGTGAGAATCACAAGACCCAGACCTACATTTTGATGCATAGTATGTCTCTGAGATATTAACAATGAAGGCACAGTCGCAGTTTAGAAATTGCCCTTCAAGTTTGAGCTGGCTTGAGTGAAGTTTCAATGAATGTCAATGGAAGGCGTGAGTTGCAAACAAATGGTCATATTGTGAAATCTATCAGGACTATGGCTTAGCCGTGGACATTTCTAGTGGCAGCAGGGATAGCTGAACATTTTGATATAAGATTTGTGTAGGTGGGCCTGAAAATAAGGGAGTGGTGGCAGTTTAGAAATCATGTCCTGATTTTTCAGCTTTTGCCAGCTCCCACTCTAGCTTTGCTATTCATTCCTATGGGACAAATTGCGCCACAAGAACGACGATATTCCGTGAACCATTCGGCGAAACGTTCCACAAAGTAATAGCAATCCGATCGGGAACAATCTGCACATTTTGGTAAATTTTTGTCTATGTAGTGTAAAAACTGTGGGAGGAGTTAGGGTGGCAAATTTGGCTATAATAAGAATAAGAACTAGAAAAGTTACAATTTCAGGGGAAATTGTGTGAAGTGTTCTTGCCTCCACCAGTAGTCTACAACTGGAGTGGGCGGAGTAACTGTTATCATTTATATCGCACATTTAATTGCAACGTTGTTGCACAGTTACATTAAACCATACATTTATAAAAACATTAGCAGGTGTTCAAAAGGCCCTGTCTATGACATCACTTGCTGCTGCAGCCTGGCACAGGTCAGAGTATTTTGGCGGTTGCCATCTTCAAACGGTCGTATTTTAAAAACTATAAATCCTACAGCAAAGAGCTTTATATTGTGAGAATCACAAGACCCAGACCTACATTTTCGGCGAAACGTTCCACAAAGTAATAGCAATCCGATCGGGAACAATCTGCACGTTTTGGTAAATTTGTGTCTATGTAGTGTAAAAACTGTGGGAGGAGTTAGGGTGGCAAATTTGGCTATAATAAGAATAATAATATATATGTGAGATAACAATAAGTGGTCTTGATATGCAAGAACACTTAATAATATATATGTGAGATAACAATAAGTGGTCTTGCTATGCAAGAACACTTAATAATAATAATAATATATATGTGAGATAACATTAAGTGGTCTTGCTATGCAAGAACACTTAATGACACCCTAGATACATCCTCTCTCCCCCTTTGGCAGATACATAAACCTACAATTAGAGGCATTCTAATCAGCCGAGCCTCATTTACAAAAACGCAAGTCCCACCATAAATACATAGACCCGCTGCGTTCCCTACGAGATGTCACAAATGCACACATTCTGCAACCAGCAGATTCACACCTGAAAACCATTGCTGATGCAATCAAACGCAAAAATGAAATACACCTAGCCACAACATCCTACACACTTCAACGGCTAATAATGCGTAATTACTCACAGGGTAACAAAGCAGGGAAATACCTAGCAACAATGCTGAGGAAAAAACAAGCACAATCTAAAATACCATATTTAACAAAAAAAAAATTGCAACCCCCAGGACATAAGTAACGAAATGGCCAATTTCTACCATACCTTGTATAATTTGAAAAAAGGACATCACAACGCCCTACCCAACAAAATCAGAAATTGAAAATTTTCTCAGCCTCTCCAAATTACCATCACGACTACACAACAAAAGATATTACAGAGACCTGTCACAGGTCAGGAAATCTCACAAACCATGAACTCCCTACCATCTGGGAAATCCCCTGTGCCAGATGGCCTCACAAACTCATACTACAAGCTTGTCTCCCATATTCTAGCCCCGAAACTGGAGTGAGTATACAACCACATCATACATACAGGTGACATGCTACACAAGATGCTGATGGCTCACATGGTCACCCAAACTAAACCAGGGAAACCTCCCCCACTAAAAATCAAAATCTGTGACCGATTTTACTTCTCAACACAGATACCAAGCTACTCACCAAAATCTACTCCAACAGGCTATCTCAATTTATCCCTACAATTGTACACGTTGATCAGGTGGGGTTTGTGAGTGGACGCCAGAGTGCAGATGGAACAAGGAAGATTCTGGATTTGCTGAGTGGGCTGCTAGGGGGGAGGGCCCCCAGTGTAGTCCTCTCACTAGACGCGGAAAAAGCCTTTGATAGGCTCCACTGGCACTTTCTCCTCACAGTCCTAGGGAAATTTGGGTTCCTCCCACAGTTCTTGTCTCTGGTAAAGGCATTGTACTCAAACCCATTAGCACAAGTAGTCAACGGGGGTTTCACATCTTACAGTTTCACAATTTCCAACGGCTCCAGACAGGGGTGCCCACTCTCCCCAATACTGTACATCTTGGCATTGGAACCTCTGACTCAATAAATCAGGGACAACCCCAACATCCACAGTATCAAGATGAAAAACAAGGAATATAAAGTGACCTTGTTCGCAGATGGCATCTTACACTACAACAACCGAATATCTCCCTACCTAATCTTCATAACACACTTCTGCAGTATAGCAAATGTTCGTATTATAAACATATCGAAAACGTAAGCAATGGGCATTCATATCCCAAAACACACACACTAGACACCCTGAAAAACTCTTTTGCGAATGAATGGCGAACAGACTAGCTAAGATTTTTAGGAGTAGCCCTGACGTTTCAGCCCTCAGTCCTTTACAAGTCCAATTATCAATTATATCTTGGACAGGCGGGATAACAGCAACCAAAATGCTAATTATTCCAATACCTATTTCGTACCCTACTTATTAAAATCCCCACCCAATACTTCCGCAAAGCACAAGAGTTAATAAATGCATTTCTTTGGAACAACTTCAAACCTAGAATTGCAAAAGCTACCATGTACAAAACCTTCTCACAAGGCGGAATGGGGTTACCAGACATAGCAGGGTATTACAGAGCAGCACTAATTAGCTTGATCCTACCGGACAGCGGTCACTCTAGGCCCCCCAAATGGGTTTATATTGAATAAGTCTATCTTCACTATCACTGCGCTTGCATGGATGTCGAGGAAACTAAGACCGAAATAAAAAGATATGCTCCCCACCAAACTCACACTCAGTTTATGGGATAAATTCAAAGACAGGCACGCCTTAACTCAGGGGACCTGTACAACCCTACCATTGGAGGCCTTGGCCTCCCTTATCCTGGATTTTAAAGGATCACTATAGGGTCAAGAACACAAACATGTATTCCTGACCCTATAGGATTAAAACCACCATCTAGCCCCCTGGTCCCCTCATGCCTTCGTAAAAATAGCAAAATCTTACCTGTTTTTTTTAAGTCTGGAGTTGGTAACTCTAGCTGTGTTTCCTTTAGAAATTGCCACCGACTGCAGACATCATCAGAAGTGGTAGCCTGATCCAATCACAGTGCTTCCCCATAGGATTGGCTGAGACTGACAAAGAGGCAGATCAGGGGCAGAGCCAGCATGATTCAAACACAGCCCTGGCCAATCGGCATCTCCTCATAGAGATGAATTGAATCAATGAATCTCTATGAGGAAAGTTCAGTGTCTGCATGCAGAGGGAGGAGACACTGAATGTTTGGATGCATTTTAGGCAGCCATGACCCAGGAAGGATCTCTAACAGCCATCTGAGGAGTGGCCAGTGAAGTTATCACTAGTCTGTAATGTAAACATTGCTTTTCTCTGAAAAGACAGTGTTTGCAGCAAAAAGCCTAAAGGTAATGATTCCACTCACCAGAACACATTCAATAAGCTGTAGTTGTTCTGGTGACTATAGTGTCCCTTTAACTATAAACTGTGGCATAGGCATGGTGTCACACACCTCTATCACATTTACCAAGGGTCTAGCTTGAAAGGCTTTAATGATGTCCAGAAACAATATGGGTTACCAAATACGGCAAAATCTTCATATGCGCAAATGCTATCTTGGTCAAAGAAACAAAATATGATCTCCTACAATATTGTAAATGGTCTACAGCTGACGGACATCAAAAAGATATGTCTCAGATTGCAACCAACCACTAGGTTCATCTCCGTCATATTTGCCAAAAACTATGACAAAACAAACCCCACGCATACCACCTTTACTTATAAGCCCCAACACAGGGCGACCACGCTGCCCGCTTCGTTGAAAACCTAAACCTGCTCTGACTCCGACAGCTGAGATCATAAACCTGCCCTTCTTAACAAAAACAAATTGTGTGAATGCTGTTACAGTATACCACTAATAGGTGAAATCAAGATTCGGTTCATCACAGACCTCACTGCGAGGTCGACACACACCAGGTGGCACCCCTAAAGTATACTACATTTCCAAAAGCCCTCACTCCCAGTGAGATCCCAGATGGGATAAGATCAAAGAATGTATACCTACGATAGAATTTAGAAGGTTAGTTGACCCCTGACTCTCTCACTCCTGAGCTACCCAGAGAGAATGGCCATCTCTAACTTGCTACTGTTCTGGGCAGGGATGTAGTGATGTCACAGCTTCCCTCTATCCCCACCCTCCCCCCAACATTTACCCCCCCCTGTTGAGGTTGTCCAGTTGTTGTAATTCATATGCATATGTTAAAAGCAGGTGTAATACACAGGCAGCACAAAACCTGGTGCTTAGCATGATATGCCAACCGTCACCATCAACATTGTATAACGCTACTACATACTCTGTAATGATCATGTAGCTATTGCACCTGTACACCTGCACTGAAAATTATAAATCAAAAAAAAAAAAGTAAACTGCTTTTTTTACTGAAAAGCCTGCAGTGACAGGCTATAGATAACAGAACCACTAGATTTAGCTTAGTGTTTCTGGTGACTATTGTGTCCCTTTAAGAATTTTATTTTTGTAGTTGAAAATAAAGCTTAGTTTAAAAAAAAAAAAAAAAAAAAACGTGACTCCTAACTTTTTTAGCTGGCTCCTATATCCAAAGCAAATTTGTCAAGCCATGGTTTATGAGAGGGTAGAATTATCAGTTAAAAGGACACTATAGACACCTAGACCACTTCAACTCATTGAAGTTGTCAGGTTGCACTGTCCCAGCACCCTTAACCATGAAAAGCTAATTATTGCAGTTTTCTTTTTTTTTCCCTTTTTTTTTTTTTTTTTATAAACGGCAATAAATAGTTTTGTGGGGTTAATCCACTTCTAGTGGCTGTCTACCTACAGCCACAAGAGGGACTTCCAGGCTGTTAGGCGACTTTTGGTTGCCTCACGCAGGATGTCCTCATGTTATGCATGAGGACATCCAGCGTCACCAGAATAAAGCAGTGTATAATGCTTTACCAAGAGGAAATCCCAATGGGAGTGTGGTCATTGTTATAGTCGGCAGGGGAAGACCCGAGGAACATCGGCACTGGACACAGATAAGGGTGAGATGATTTAAAAAAATAAAATAAATTTAAAACCCCTTCTGCACCGTGAGGCAGGGTTCTAAATTACATTTAGATCCTTACGAACAGACTACCTTCAGAAGGTGCAGACCACAGCAGTTGATCCTTTGCAGTCTTGGAGCTCAATGAACACCAGCCACTGCGCTCTATTAGAACGTGCCAGAAAACGAGGAAGCGAGTACTGTGACCTGCAGCGGTCGGAGATGCTCACAGCCCAGCCCTGTTCTCCACTGGATCTCCAGAAAACAGCCCTGCTGTGGGTAAGGCAACAAAAAACCAAACCACTGCCTGCTAAGAGTCTGGAACTGCATGCCTCAGGCAATAGGAATTACCATCCCTGTATCCTACACGGAACATTTAATTAGTTATTTGGTTGAGCAAAAAAGCCCAGATGCAATTCAGCATTTCTCTCAATGGGAGGCTATCAGCCAATCACCGGCTCTCCAAGTTTAAAGATTTTTGCATTGTGACCAGGCAAGAGGCTGATCTGAAAATTTTTAGATTACTTACCAATAGAAATTCTGAAATTAAAATGTCAATTATGCTGAGCCACCTGATTTTTTTTTTAAATCATACCCACTCTATACTACAGGGGTAGGCAACCTTTTAGCAGCACTGTGCCGATATAGGATTGTGATGTCCTGTAGTGTGCCAATCCTATTTTTTTTTTAAATTGAGGTGTGTATGCTGCCATATTCTGCTTGTGTTATTTTTACTGTAATTGCTTTGTATCATTGTATTTGTGCGTATATGAGCTATTATATTGTATATGTTCATTAGTAGTTTATGGTATTGTGTAAGATACATATGAACGTGGGCTGTGTATGAGGGCTGCTTGTGGAATTGTGTGTGGATGGATATGTCACATTGTGTGTTTGGTAGTGGGTGGGGGCTGTTTGGGGTATTGCATGTGAGAGGCTGCATGTGGGGTTGTGTGCATGTATGTGGATTGTTAGTGGTGTTGCATTTGTGGGGATTGTGTGTATGCTTGTGTGTGGGCTGTTATTCTGCATTTCTGTGTATACCTAGCAGTGTGGGTGGCTTCCCTGGTTCCAGTCGGGACCAGGCTGGCCAGGTACAGGTCAAGGACAGTAGCTGAAACACCAGCTGCGGGCTGCTCTTCTACAGTGTGGATTCCCATTCACAAGTGCTGGGAGGAAGTGATCTGAGATCACTTCCTCTATGTGCTGCAATGCATAAATTGAGGATTGTCCTTCATCACCTCTTTGTATTAGCAGATATATGAAGTTTTACTGGGACTCCTGATAGGCCAGAGCCTGTTTGGCTCTAGCAGCCTTGAGTGCCGTAGGTTGCCTACCCCTGCTGTACTATAAAAAATAAAAAGGGGAGGAGTCTGCGCTATGTAACAGGGATGTAAGCTGCAACCCTAAAAGGGAATCCCTCACGACCCTTGGTAAGGTAAAAGAAAGAAAGATAGAGGGAAGGGCTGCGCTAGTAAACAAGAAATAATATGGTAAAAATTGGATAAAAATTGAATATGCCAAAATGAATAGACAGCAATAAAAAGACCTAGGTATAATAGTCTATTAAAATACCATAAAAAAGTAGATAAAAACAAAGTCCATTCAAGTGTTTAAAATGTTCAGTAGAGATCAAATAGTAAACATGTTCAATAAAATACATACACTGTCTATTCATTTTGGCATATTCAATTTTTAAAATATTATTTCTTGTATACTAGCGCAGCCCTTACCTCTATCTTTCCCACTCTGTACTATGTTGTATGCACAAGTTGGCAGATTCTATCCACGAGAGTTAACACATGCTCACAGTGGGGCACGATATAGTTAACCATGAACACTATATCCTGAATATCAAAGCTCTGGTGATGTTTCCTCCCCACACTCTGCAAAGCCACAGTTCTCCTGTGTCTTAGAGTTGCCAACGCCTGCCCTTATAATTCAATGAAATAAACAGCATTATTAGAAAGCTCAACGTCACAAGTGAGGCGGTGTTCTGAACATTGCAGAACGCTGGGGAGTATTCTACTTCTCAACGTACTCCCAAACCAGCAGGGAGGTAGATCCTGATAGGAAGTGCTGGCGCTGCTGTTAACACTCTCACGGGCATGATCGACTAAACGAATCACGCAACAACATAGTACAGCTTGGCTGCAATTTATTTTTTTAAAAACTTTCACGTCACCTCTGGGGCTTCATAAATTTAGCGCAATATATCTTATTGATAGAATGATCTATAAACACATTATAGTTTAAACTCAGACAACAATTTGGAGCTCCTACAAAAGGAGGCACAGAGGAACTCAGACTCAAAATTTGAATTGCTCCTCCTAGATATGGACCTTTGGCATGTATGCCATGTTTGTGCAACAACAGCTGGAGGTCAACTTTTTTAACCAGCCCTGTTCGAAGGCTGTTCCTTCCATGCTTAAAAAGTAATTTTTTTATTTTAGCGTATTTTATTGTGAGCATTTGCCTTATGAACTATATTAGCGTATTTTGTAAGTGCAGCCACTCATTATTTACAAACATGAGGTTATTTACTAACGTGAGAATTCAAAGTGAATGGCCAGAATAGACAAACGGAACGCATAGCAGACTTACAGAATTTTTCCAGTGGCTAATTTCTTGTAAATTTGAATTCTTAGTAAATGACCGTGACAATGTTTCACGTTACGTCCAAAGTTAGGGGTATAACCTTTCAAGCATGCACTGCCATTCACACTGAACTGCAAACCAAATTGAAATAAAAACATATAAAAGACACACGTGTGTGTATAAGCTTAATCTGTTTCTAAAAGCTTTTGGAGAGGTGATATCCCATAGTTTGAGATATATTTATTTATAACATTTTACCAGAAAGTATACATTGTTATTTCTCTTGTTTGTGGACCAAAGCAATGCAATTACTTTTTTTGTTTTGTTTTTTTTAAGCTGCTACTTACCTACTAACTTTTCTATGAAACCACAATGATTTTATTAGCACTTACAAACAAGCACAATATGATATGGGTTAAAGTTGGAGTTAGGGGCTTGGACCAGTGGACTTCCTTATAGGGCAGAGATTGGGCTGGTCACACTCCAGATGTTCTAAAACTACAACTCCCATCATACCTTGCCAGAAATTTAAGAGTTGAAGTTTTAACACATCCAGGAAAATAATGTGTGTCCATTATTGGTAATAAAAATTAAAATAAAAGCAATAAAAAAATAAAATAAAAAAAACACAAATAAAATCCACTACTACATCAGCTTTCCAGGACAGCCTTGTTGTCCTCCCCCACCCCTCCCCAGGAGTTAAAGTGGTTTTGGTGTTAGATGGGATCCCCATACAGTCCCAGTCCTAGCTGTATTGCTATGGTGGGTCTCCCAACCTGCAGTTTGCATTCCCCGCCATTACATCCATCCAGCCCCATTCACTGCGCTCCCGCCAAACCCGGCAGCGAGGACACGTGGAGCGCCAGAGCGCACATGGCGAACCCCTCTACGGGTTCCATTACCTTAACTCCGAGCGCTGAGTCCATGGTGGCGGCGGGGTTAATTCAGTGACTGGTGTGGGGGGTCAGCTGCGCAGGTAGGGATTCACAAACAAGCCCACGTTTCTCAGAGCCGTGAGTGCAGAGTAGAGGAACGCCTCCCGCTGCTCGCTCCTCCCCCGTCCCGATAGCCAGCATTCTAACCCCGCCCACCGCATGCTGCTCTCCAAATGGGATTACCTGGGGCTATACCACTGGCATTGGGACTTTGGATCTGCCTTAAATTTGATGAGGGTAAATTGTGAGAAAATTCGAAGTAAATTCCAAGTTTTAAGCCAAAATTGCAGAATTAAAGGGACACTATAGTCACCAGAGCAATTACAGCTTAATAATGGTTCTGGTGTCTATAGCCTGTCCCTGCAGGATTTTCAATGTAAATACTACTTTTTTTGTGTGAAAAGGCAGTGTTTAAAGGGACACTATAGGCACACAGACCACTTCAGCTCGTTGAAGTGGTCTTAGTGCAGTGTCCCAGTCCCACGTAGTTCTGGAATGTAAATCATTGCTGTTTTAGTGTCACGGCATTTGAGGGCTCTTACCTTACCCGGCACTCCCGCTGTATGCTGGGGGCCTCCGGAGCACGCTTCTCCTCTTACCGTCTCAAGCGTTCAGTGTCGGGCTCCGTGAGGGGTTGCTGCGGCAAGATGGCGGCGGCCACGCGGATGCCCACTCAACAGATGACACGAGGAGGAGGGCTGTCCACTAATTAAAGGGGCAGGGTCTGCGGCATGGCGCCGACTCCCGAGTGTAAAATAGCCAGGGGATGGGGGCCAGTCCCATGAATAACCTATAAATAGCCAAGTTCTGCACTTGGTCAGTGCTTGGTTGTTCTGGTCCTTGCTTCCAGTGTCGTTTTTTCACAATTTTTTTTTTTTTCGAAGATTGAAGAAACAAAGAAGACATCTAATTATTATTATTGCGATTTATATAGCGCCAACAGATTCCGTAGCGCTTTACAATATTATTAGAGGGGGGGATTTGGCTATAAATAAGAGAATTACAAGAAAAACTTACAGAAACGAAGGGTTGAAGCTTACAGTCTATAGGAGGTGGGGTATAGGAGGTGAGCCCAATGGTGAGTTATTATGATCTCAGTTCCTATACTCCCTAGCCAATGCTATCAGCGCTGGCTATGGAGTTACCATAGGAACCACAGCACATCCGCTGGGGTTGCTTTGGGTGGAGTGCAGAAGATCTGCCTATGGGAGGTTTCTTCTGCTCTCCTTTAATTCCCTGCATAGAGTGCATGCTGAAGAATGGATTAACAGTGGGAGAAAAACTTAGTTTTAAATAGTTTTCCTCCCAATCTATACATTTGATAGTAACACTGAAATATAATGTTCTTTAAAAAGAGCTAAAGTAGTTTTGGGTGTAACAGATGCCCTTTATAAATATGAGGTGGGATAGAGAGAGATGGCAAGTGAGGTGGAATAGTGGGTCACAGCATAGAGGGGTGGGGTTAGAGGGAGAGACAAGTTAGGATAAAACAAGTGGGATAGGAAAATATTAAATGTTACCCAGTCATACCCATTAAAATACACTCTACACTAATATACCACTATTCTCAAACACACACACGACACTCTGCATTTACACACTCTACACATATCTACAAATATATTCCTGCATTTACAAATACATAGACAGCCCATACAGGGGTGTGTGTACCACGAGGCAAACAAGGCATTTGCCTTGGGCGGCAATTTCCAGGGAGCGGCAAGAAACGCCGCCCCCAAATGCCCAGGCAAATACCCTGTTTGCCTCGTTTTATGTGAGCCCAAGAGGAGGCCTACTGGCCACCTTTGGGCTCCCCTGGGGCGGGTGAGGGAGCACTTTCCCCTGAGCTCTCTGCTCAGCTCCATCGCCCGCCCCAGGGGAGCCCAAAGGTGGCCACTTGGGCTCCCATAAAACGTGATAAAACGCCTGCCTGCCTGTATGTCCAGCCGCCTCCCTGCCCAGCAGCCCCACTGGACCCCAGGTGAGAAATCCATCCAGCTATCCCAAAAGTAGGGAGGCTGGGTGGATTTAAATTTAAAAAAAATAATAATAATTGTGAGTGTTTGTTAGTGAATGTGTGTGTCAGTGAATGTCAGCGAGTGTGTGTGTCTGTCAGTGAGTGTGTGTGTTTCAGTAAATGTGTGTGTCAGTGAATTTGAGTGAGTGTGTGTGTCTGTCAGTGAATGTGTGTGTGTCGGTCAGTCAGTGTGTGCGTGTGTCTGTCAGTCAGTGCGTGTGTCTGTCAGTCAGTGCGTGTGTCTGTCAGTCAGTGTGTCTGTGTCGGTCAGTCAGTGTGTGCGTCTATCAGTGAGTGAGTGTCCGAGTAAGTGTATGTCTGTCTATCAGTGTGTCAAATCAGTGAGTGTGTGTATGTCATTGTTTGTGTATATGAGTGTATGCATCTATCAGTGAGTGTGTGCGTCTGTCAATGAGTGTGCATCTGTCAGTCAAAGTGCGGCTTTGACAGGAAGGGGTCAGAAAAATTTTACTTGGGGGGGGGAGGGGAGTGCCCGAGCACCGTCCTGCCTAGGGCAGCACAAAACCTAAATACACCACTGAGCCCATACACATGTAAACCTGCATTCACAAAACTTGACACTATACAGAAAAAGGCACTCCTTCATTAGACACACATTGTGAAGCTATGCACAAATACACACAAATCTACAATCTTGCACTGCTCACAAAGACATTCTTGCATTTGCACCATCAAACGCATTCTTGAACGGACAAAGGAATTGCATGTTGGTGGCCCAAATAGCCAAACTGGAAAATTTCTAGAATCCAGATTATTTTTCAACTCCTTTATATTGCTAAATGTGTCTGTTCAATATTGTGTTGCTAAATAGCTAGTTCACTATACAGTTATTTTAGTGAATTAATTTAAAGTCACAACTGTGGTTATTTTAACTGCAGTTTAATTTTTAATTGAGAAAATGTAACTGTTTAGTGAATAAACCTATATATATATATATATATATATATATATATATATATATATATAAATATATTAGACATGTAAGTGGCCCAGGGCCCCAGACAGAGGTTGGTCCACCCCTGCAAAGGAGCGTTGTGCTCTGCTCCTATATGAGGTGCAGATCACTTTAAGAGCTCCCTCGCGGTACCACCTCGAACTGAAAGCATAGCTGATTTAGATTTTTTTTCCAGTTCATCTATTTTCACCTTAAATTTGAAATTCACTTTGAATTATTACATTAATGAATAACGCTGTCAGTCTCCCATACACACGTCACACTCAGCACGCTCCATTCAAAGAACAGAACCCAGGGCTCTAGGAGGGGACCCCAACCAGGCATCATGTCTAGGGCCCTAGCCAATCATAATCTATCTTTTCTAGGGGGAGGTCCAACTTTTGAGATTAACTCACTTACTTGTGGAATTCATCCCCTCAAGTGCAAAGTAAAATAAGGCCCTAGAATGAGGCACCAATGACAGGTAGGGGTGCCTAAGTCAGGTGTTTTGATTTTTTTGTTTGTTCGGTGTTTTTTTTTTAAAGCTATTACATTTGGTAAGCTTTGAATTTGGTGTTTAGTGAGTGAGTGAGTGTGCCGGATCTTGTAAGTTGTTTTAATTGGTCCCAGAAGAACCCTTATATGTAACAAAGGAAGGGAGGGGAAATGACTGAGATTTCACTCTCAGTGACAGTAATAAAAACTCCTAATGCCTATTGCATAGTGTAGGCTCAACTTCTCAGTACTCACAGTCTTCTTCAATGTGCTCAGTCACTCTTTATTTGAGACTTACAGGCCTTCCAACAGTCCTGATTTTGGAGTCCTTCATTAGATGCACTGGTACTATACAGCAGGCACTAGGACGATGCAGGAAGTGCATTGGCATTGCTGCCTGCGTGGTCCTAAAGGCCAGGGACCGACCAGACAGCCTCTCAGTAGGTGTGCGTTGCTGGTGACATCACCAGGGCCATGCCCACTGCATCCTGATTACCCTCTCACAATTGTTAGTAGTTATGGACCTGAGACCATGCTGTGGCTAGTTGAAAAGTTGTAAAGCTTCAAACTGTAGCACTGGGGCTGTGACTCTAAGGACTGATCTGATTCTGATTTCAATCTGTTTTAATCTGTAATGATTTCTGTTAACCATGTCAGTTACTTCTTGGCTCCATATTACCACTGCAGACTAACTATATTGCCAGCTGCAAAGATAATAAGGAGTCTATCAGTATCCTGATTCTTAAAGGAGTAGCTGACATGTTTTATAACAGCAGCATTTACTAGAAAGCTTAAGTTGTCATAGCAGATGCAAAACTGAAGACAGGATCAGAAAAGGGAGAGCTAGAGACTCTCAGCGTGCTAGAGAGCTAGAATTAGACAGATAGCTGGAACATTACAGAGACACTGTACAGTGTGAGAATTTCTGTATCACCGCTCTGTGTAATCCAGAGGCGGCTCTCTAACTAGGCGGTTTAGCCTGCCACCTAAGGTCTGGGGCCTCGTGGCCGCCTAAACCACCTGGAGGCAGACTGTGTCGGGTCCTCGTCAGTGACTTGCTCTGTGTGCCGCCAGGTGCAAGGCCCCTACAGTCTGCCGGGATTGGGAGAGCGCCCATTGCAGACACCAGTCTGCAGCTCCTCAGTGTGCAGAGCTGCAGACCATGTGTCTCGCAAGATCTGGCCAATCAGAGCGTTGCCTCGGGTTACCATGGCAAAGCTCTGACCGGGTCTCGCGAGATACATGGTCTGCAGCTCTGAACACTGAGGAGCTGCAGACCGAATATTATTGCCACCGGACCACCAGGGAGCCCACAGAGGTATTTTTCACCCCCCTCCCAGTATCCCCCCTCCTTCCCAGTATCCCCCTCGTCCACACCATCACCCCCTCCTTCCCAGTAGCCCCCCTTCCACACTATCACCCCTCCTTCCCAGTATCCCCCTTCCACACCATCACCCCATCCTTCCCAGTATCCCCTCCCTCACACCTTCATCCCCTCCAAGTATCCCCCTTCTTCATACTATTCCCCTCCCCACACTAACCCCCACCTTCCTCCCAGTATCCCCCTCCTAACACTATCATCCCCCTCCAAGTATCTCCCCTTCCACACCATCACCCTCTCCCAGTATCTCCCCTTCCACACCATCACCCCCTCC